TTCACCTCATACTCGCTATAAGAAACATCAATTGCCAATTCAACAATTCAATTTACAACAAATGTCTTCAATTCAACAAGCATCAAAATCTTTTAGAAAAATTCAAGGAATTCAATACTCTCATACTTCACATAATTTGAATCAAATACAACCAAACCGTTCTGTTCCTAATCTTGTATATCAAGATATGTTTCATACAAATATTCCACAACAACTCCATCGACAGAAATATCACCTTGTTGATTCTATTAAAACTAAATCTCTTGATGTTACAAGCTGTAATGATTCTGAATACGAATTTGATTCTGTTTCAGATCCAAAGAAAACAAATTTTAGTGAAGGTGATACTGAATTTAAAAAGGAATTAATTCCTGAAGATGAAGAATCTAAAACAATGGATAATTTGAATTCTCTTCCTGACGTTGCTTTTTCATCATCAATGTCTCATGACTCATTATTAGCTGATGCCATGGAAACACCAATGCAAAAACTTCGTCGAGAAGATGATTTTGATATAGAATCCTTCATTAGAAAATCCTCTTTTTTGACTGATGAAGATTGACTCTCATAGTTTGATATTAATATCATCAACACTTACTACTTAATCACGATCTTATTTATATATCTCTCCATCGTCTTTAAGTTTTTACTTAATAGTTATTCAACATCATTTTTTTATTAAATTATTGTTTATTTTTATAGTCATGCTCAACAAATACTTTTATTTAATCATTATTTGTTTAGTAACATTTTTTTTATTAGGATAACATTGGTTGACATAGTGTTTAATAGATAAATGATAATATCTTTAAAGTGACTTATAAAGGGTGTCAAATAATATAAGTGTCATCTTAAATTCATCTTAATTTGTTTTAAATTGTTAGAGATAACTCATATTATCAGATTGATTACCTTTGATTCTATCTCTTTTCTCAATAGAATAAAGAATAGAGTCATAGAAATGTAACATAACTAAGTTTAATTTGTTTCTTGTTCAATTATTTAAAAATGAAGCTAGCTTTACTTTATAGTTAGAAAAACCAGTGATACTTCACAAAGCACTTCTAAGTAGTTCTTTTTTTTTCTGATAAACAAACATAATTGAGTGGTAACTTTGTGTAAATTAAGACTTCTTAAAAAAGATTAACAATTAAAACAACCCATAGACATATACCATCTAAGACATTACTAACTTTCTTGTTTTCTCTCCTCTTCTCAAAAGAAATCATCAAAATCAAATTCTGAGCAGATTTTACTATTATCAATTGGTTTATCTGACTTCTTAATAATGTCTTCTTCATTTTTCTTATCTTCTTCCTTCGATTCAAATACTTCCTCTATTACTGTTGTGTCATCACCCTTTACTTGTTCCTTATGTTCAGTATCATTTTCTTTAATATCATTCTCTTTGGCACTAATATTTGTTGTGCTTGATGGTTGGTCATCTTCAATAACAAAACCATCACTATCCTCAGCATCTTCCTTTTCTTCTTTGTCTAATACATGAACTTCTTTTGTCAATTCATCATCCTCTTGGTGTTTAATGTTATCTGTTCTAATAGGTTTTACTTCTTTGCCATCTAACAAATCTTGAATCCTTTCTTTGTTGCTTTCCTGAATCTTATTGTTATTGATTTCTTTCATGAGTCGTTCAGTATGTTCATCAAATTGAATCTTTTTCATTGTTGGTCTTCTTCTTCCTTTTGGACCTGACACACTTCTTCTACTGATTTTACCGTCATGTCGAATCTCGATTGTCTCTTCATTACTTTCTTCTTTTTTCTGTTCCACTGGCTTTGGTCTTATTGGTGCTGGTCCTCCCATGATTGGTTTATTCCCAAAAATACCTTCTAACTTAGTTTTTGTTTGTGTTTTTGTCATCTTTTCTGCTTTGGTTTCACTATCACTAACTGGTTTTTTCTTTGGCTCTTCTTTTGTTGAAAACAATGCTTCAATTTTACTAGATACCTTACTTCCTTGAGCCTTTACTTCTTGTTGCTTAGTCTCTGCTTCAAAGACATTATCTATTTTCTTTTTAGATTGGTTTTTCTTTTCTTCTTGTTGTTTAGGTTGTGTTGGTGTTGTGTTGATATCTCCAAATAAGTCATCAACTTGTATTGTCTTTGTCTGAGATTTCTTAGTTTCTTCCTTTGGCTTAGAAATATCATCAAAGGTGAACAAATCATCAATTTTCTTTGTTTGTTCTTGCTTTTTCTCTCCTTCCTTCTTAATATCATTTACTTGAGTACTTTCTAATAAATCCTTTGTTTTTCGTTCATTTGTTGGTACTTGTTTAGCATCTTCTACTTTTGTGTCTCCAAACAAATCGTCTATTTCTGGTTTCTTGTGTTTACTCTTTGTATTAGAGATACCTGAAACAACCTTTGGTTCTTCAAATAGGTTGTCAATGTCTTTTTTCTGGTATTGTTTAGGTTCTTGAGTTTTTTTCGGTGGGTCTTTTGGCTTTGGTTCAGTTTCAAACAAATTATCAACTATCTTTTTTGAATTTTGTTGATGCTGGGGTGTTACTGTTTCATTGTTAGATAGTTTTGTTGGTGTTTCAATACTGAAAATGTCATCAATTTCTTTCTTTGGCTTTTGATTTGTTTGACTCTCTATTTTCTTTTCTAGAGGCTTGTCATCTTCAAAGAGATTGTCAATAATCTTTTTGTGAGACTCTTCTTTTTTAACTTCCTTCTTAACAATTGTTGATCCAAACAACGGATCGGCTGTAGACGTTTTCTTTTCAGTTTTATTTTCTTGAGACTTGACAGTACTTTCTCCAAAAAGATCATCAATCTTTGGTTTCTCTTTTATTTCTGACTTTTGTTTCTTCTGCTTATCCACAGTAAGTTGGGAGTTGGATTGGATTTCAATATCTTCAAATAAATTATCTACTTTTATTTCTTTCTTGGTAATCTCTTGTTTTGGTTGGTTGTTTTGGGGTTTGAAGTTTTCTTTCTTTTCTGAAGATGATGGAATTGTTGTTGGTTCTTCTCTTTGAGCTTCAGGTTGTTTGATTATAACATCACCAAACAAAGGGTCTAGATTCTTTTCTGTTACTTCTTTCTTTTCTTCTTGAATATTCTCTTTGTGTGATTCTTCTTTCTTTTCTATTGGCGTTTGATTTTTGTTTTGTTGGGAGACATCAGTATCTTCGTTAACATCACTAAACAGAACATCAATCTTTCTATTCTTTTTTGCTGGTTTCTTTTCTTTTTCCTCTACTTTCTTTTCAAGTAATAAATCAATAAAATCTTCTGATGTTTTTTTCTTTTCATCTAGACGTTGAACTGTGCTTGTCTTAGTTTCTTTTTTTGTGTCAAGTGAAGAGGCTAATACTTCCAAAATATCAACATCCTCTTTATCATCAAACAAATTTTCAAATTCCACTTTCTTCTTCTTTTCTTTTACTTTTTTCTGTGAATCTTCTTTCTTTTTTTCTATTGTTTTTGTTTTAAAATCAACGTTATCATCATCAAAACTTAAGATAGTTGATAGTTTATTAGAGGTAGTTTCTCTCTTATGTTTTGATTCTATTAGTAATTTAGTAACATCATCAGTTTGCTCTTCCTTCTTTTCAGGTTCATGTACTTTGTTATTTGGTGGTTCTTCTGTTTTAATTTCTTCTATATTTTCAACTTTGGGATTAGGGATGTTGGTTGGTGAATCTGGTTTTTTATCTCCTGGTTGTGGTAGTCTGAATCCTCTTTGTTTAATTTCTTCTATAATTGATATTTTCTTTGTAGTCTGTTCATCCTGTTGTTGTTCTTTTTGTTGTTCTTCTGAAATCACTTGGGTTTCTTGTTCGTGTTTCTCAGAATTGACCCTTGGTGAAGATGATAAAATTGGGTTTCCTGATGAATCAATATGTAATGGAGGTGGGGGTGGGATTTCTCCAGTTTTAATTTCTCCAGTTGATGATACAGAAACAGTTGGAATTGATGATGCAGAAACAGTTGGTTGAGTTGGTTCTGTTGTGTTCACTTGCTTTTGTTCTTGATTTTTTGATAATTGAGGATATCCAATATATTCAATTTCATCCACAAAATTCTTTCCTTCATTGATATTAATTCCATTAATCATTTGAAGTCCCTTTTCAAGAGCAATCTCAAACAATTTATCATCTTCAATATCTTTTATTTCTGTACTTACTTTCTCGTCATCTTCTTTAATTTCATATTCAGCCACTTTATTTTCAAGATATTGAGATTGACTGATATATACAAATTCATCTCCTGTTGATCGAACCTGTAATTCAAGGAGGTTGATATTTTTTGTTGCTTCTTGCATTTGGTTAGTGAGTTGATTACAAGAACCTAATATTGTATTATGGATTTCTTTAATGTATTCTAGAAATTCTTTGTCACTGTCTAATGTCCATTCACCATTATGAATAACATCCATTGCATTTCTTGTCCCTTCTGTTGTTGTCATTCAAAATTACTCTTTTAGAGTTTAAGTTCCTTTGAAATCTTGAAAAAAAAA